GTAATGACATTCTTCTTAAAAAAATAAAAACTAATATTTAAAAAAATGTAAGAAACAGCATATTTTAAAATGGAGATCTTCTTTAAAGGGCAAAAGCTCATTCGATTTTATATCTTACAGGGTTTATACTGAGTTCAGTATTGTATAACTGTATTAATTCAACTGTGAACCTAAAAATTTACATCCACTTTTGAAAGAGATGTATCCTTGCTCTGGAGCTAAAAATTTACAGCTATTTTTGAAAGAGATGTAGCCTTGCTCTGGAGTGTGTTTCTGAATATGTTAAAGCTGTAATGAAATGCTTCTTCCAATCATATGGTTATTAAATTAAAAATTTTTTTTAAATTTTATGGGACTGGAGAGATGGCTCAGCGGTTAAGAACACTGGTTGTTCTTGAAGAAGACCCGCGTTCGAATCCCAGCACCCACATGGCAGCTAACAACTGTCTGTCCGTAACTCCAGTCCCAGGGGATCAGACAGCCTCTTCTGACCTCCGAGAGCATTGCCCGACCCGGGTGCACTTACCTACATGCAGGCAATACACACATACACATAAAATAAAAAGAATAAGTACAATAATTTTTTAAATATTTTATGGGACTGGAGAGATGGCTCAGCGGTTAAGAACACTGGCTGTTCTTGCAGAAGACCCAGGTTCGAATCCCAGCACCCACATGGTAGCTAACAACTGTAACTCCAGTTCCAGGGGATCCGATATCCTCTTCTGTTCCCCGGGAGCATTGCACGACATGGGTGCACTTAACCTACATACAGGCAACACCCGAATACACATAAAATAAATAAAATTGTTTTAAAAAGTTTTTTTAAAAAAGTGCACTTGGGAGGCAGAGGCAGGCGGATCTCTGTGAGTTCAAGGCCAACCTGGTCTACATAGTGAGTTCCTGGACAGCTGGGGCTACAGGGAGACCCTGCTTCAAAAAGACAAAAAAAAAAAAAAAAAAAAAAGTATTTTTTTTTAAATTTTATGTGCATGCGTGTATTGCCTGCATGTGTGTAAGTGCACCCGTGTTGTGCAATGCCGGTGGAAGTGAGGAGAGAGCGCCGGATTCCCTAGAACTGGAGTTAGGGATGGTGGTTAGCTGCTATGTGGGTGCTTGAACCCCGGTCCTCTACAAGAGCAGGCAGTCCGCTTACCCGCTGAGACATCTCTCCAGCCCCATTAAAAATTCTTTTTAAGAGCAAGTTTTTATGGACATAGGCAAGCTCCAGGATAAGAAAAGAGCCCAGTTTTTATTGACAAATCTCGACACCCAGCCATTTGTTAATGTATGTCCGTTTTCTCTGGCTTTTTAATTTCTGGTCTTCTGAGAAGACACACACGTCCTATTAGCTCCTCAGCTACAAAGATTCATTGGAATGCATCTGGTGCAGACAAGCAGCCGCAGCGCCGGGATGGAGGCTGGGCGGTCTTCGAAGTCCGGATCATTCATCGTCAGTTTCTCCCAGCCCCGCAGCATTTTAAAGAAGGGGTCGTGGGGTTCACGGAAACGGCCAGGAGGGACGGGTGATGATGGCGGACTCCCGGATGTAGCCTAAGTGGGTACTTGCACAGGTTCCTCCACACACCACGCAGCATCGGACGGTATGCGGTGTTGAGCTGCGTTCTACACACTACGCTAAGTTACGTTAACAAATAGGTCGCGTTTTATGCTTAAAATAAGCAAAAAACCCCAGAGCCACAGAGGCCCGGCTTTAGAGGGACCCCGGGGTGCCACAGCTCCACCTCCCGCCAGGTACCGCCCCGCGATGCGCCCGAGGGGCGGGGTTTCCGCTTCCGGCGGCGGATTGTTGACGCCCGCCGCTGCTGTGGTAGCGACCCTACGGTTGTGGTGGAGGGGCGGCTGGGGCCGGGCCGCCGCGCCGTGACGGGCTCTGCGGAGGGGGCCGCCGAGGCGACGATGGCCGACGGGCCCGAGGAAGCCCGCAGCCCGTGCGGACAGGACGGCGGCGGAGGCGACCGCGAGCCGGTCCCCTCCGGGCGAGGCCCTCCAGCCGCCGCTCCGGCTCCGCAGACCCCGGACCGGGCCCTCGCGGCCGCCGCCCCCGCCGGCGAGGAGCCCCGGAAGTGCAGGGAGGCCGGTGCGCAGGAGCCGGCTGGCCGCGAGGGTCCCGACCGGCAGCGGCTGAGCGCGC